TTCGATGAGCCTCAGCCGCAGATTTCTTCATATTGAAGCAGAAAATTGAAACCTCCCGCAAATGACGAGAATTTGGCTCGTAAACTGACATTTTCAATCGAGAATAACTTTATAATGCAGACACAAATTGACTAATGTTTCTATGGGGTTATGTTGACAGATGCCCAAGTTTATTGTATGACGTCTATGATCTATTTATTTCGACCACCACTTACCGCTAAAGCCATCTATAGGAAAACGACGGAAGGTTGTACACCTATTAATATATAATATAATGTAAAAACTAAATCAAAGATGTCACCACTCTTATCGAATTTGGAATTTAAAAAGTCTGTACTATCGACCTTGATCGAGTTAGGTAATCGGTTTAGCATCCCCTTAATGGCTACTGCACACTGGACGCGATGAGCAATGAGCGACGAGCGATATCCAATAAAAACTCTGCTTTTTCTCACGTGACGACGCAAAGCAAAGCTCTCATTGGATATCGCTTGGAGCTTTTGGACACGACTCAATTGGACACGAGCCACTCACAGCGCTTGAGACTACAAAGCTCCTAAGCACCGGTCGCTGTGATTGGTGGTGTCCAATCGAGCCGATGTCAATAGGGATCAGCCCCCCTTAAGCCATAAAAAATTGATGAATTACATTCGAATACGAAAACAATAATTGACTCTGATTCGTTCATTTCTTATGGCTTAACGTTTACAAATCTATTGTAAATCCGGGGTTACGTTTCCACTGAGCGCGTCACACTTCGCGTCCATCGCGTCGGGGTGATCCCGATTAACCACGGCTCGATTGGACACCACCAATCATATAGCGTTTTCGGCCCGACCGGGTTTGCACCAACCTGGGTTGGATTAATGGCGTTTTGCGCTCCCCTATTGGTAGAGCGTGTGACATCAACCAATAGGAAAGATTAATCCAACCCAGGTTGGTGCAAACCCGATCGGGACGAAAACGCTATCAGTGACCGGTGCTTAGGAGCTTTGTAGTCTCAAGCGCTGTGAGTGGCTCGTGTCCAACTGGGTGCCACCCCATCACGTTTCGACGCGACGCGAAAGAAAGAAAGAGAGGGGTTGTGTAGAAACTTCACCCTTTCTCTCTTTCGCTTCGTGTCGTGACGCGATGGACGACGCGACGCGTGACGCTCTCAGTGGAAACATACCATTACACATTCAATAGCGTTTTTGATTTGGAAAAAGTTAGTGCGCACCAGTGCGCACTCAGTTCACACCAATACTGGACGAGTTCCATCGGTGGCACTGAATAGTTCAAGTTCAAAAGAACACGCCAAGATTTTCAGTACTAAAGCTGAAGTGCCATTTCGAGTTGTAAGATTGTAAGGACTTAACTAGACTGCAAGAAGAACGCAGAAAAATAACATCGACATTTGATGTTCATAACTTTAAGTAATAATTTTTTACTATATGTAATTAAATAATATGTAAGATATCCAGAATATCATGTACTTATCAATAATTGTACACATTTGCATATGTTACGTTTCAGTTCAATCGCGCAGATTTGCTTGTCCCTACTGTATATCCTTATGCTGGATTCACTGCATCCGATTTGCGTCGTACGACCCTTTGCAACCAATCAGAAAATAGGATTCCGACGGATTTTGCTTCGTATCATCAGAATCCTGTTTTCTGATTGGTTGCAGAGCATCGTACGACGCAAATCGGATGCAGTGTGAATCCAGTATAAGGGAGCATTTATATTGGCCGTAATCGTGTGCCGTGTGCCGTAATCTGGAAAAATTAACCAATCACCTTCGAGTATTCACTTTCTATAGTCGAATGAGAGGGAAATACTTGACTGTGATTAGTTAATTCTTACAGCCCTTCTACAATAAACCGCAAGTCAGAAGTTCTAAACGATCTTAAGTCATAATCGGTGAAGTTGGCCAATAACCAACTTGAACGACTTGGTTAAGACTGGTTAATACTTCTGATGTTCTGACTTGCGGCTTGTTGTAGAAGGCCTATTACATATTACAGCATACTGCATACGATTACGGCCAATTTAAACGCTCCCTAAAGGCACACTAGTGCAAGACAGCCAATATCATGATGGGCGCATTCACCGAATTGAACAGTTGAGGGAATGCTTGCTATTCCAATCAGATGCAACTACGGAATAATAAGAAGATTAAACTCGAGGTCTGAAAGTGGACTCGAAACACGATATCGGAAAACCCATGGAAAATCAGGCCGATGTGATTTTAGTGCCACCACGCCTTGCCGGAAAAATTGGAAATATTGGTTGCGTTCAGCAGAACGTTTATTTTGCAACTGTTGGAAGTTTTCTTCGCGCTGATTGAGTTATGCTTTTAAGCGTGGTCTACAATAAGTTGCCAAGACACCGTCGCTGGTCGCAATGCTTCATGACAGCCAATCAGAAGCCTCACTAGTTACTATTGACGTTTTTGATTGGCTGTCGCGAAGCATTGGCTGCGTTCAGCAGACTCAACTGTTGTGGACCGGATCCGTGAGCACTCGCTGCTATTGGATGATCTAGAAGAATACACCAATAGCGGCGAGCGCTCACGGATCCGCTCCACAACAGTTGAGTCTGCTGAACGCGACCATTGCGACTAACGACAGAGTGTTTGCAACTTATTGCAGATCACGCTTTAGATCAAGAGGAATGGTCCTATTTCACCAGAGAATCATAAAACAGTTGCAAAATTGTTGTGTTCTGCTGAACGCAGCCATTGGTCGCGTTCAACAGCTCAACTATTGTGGAGCAGATCCGTGAGCACTCGCTGCTATTGGTGTATTCTTCTAGATCATCCAATAGTAGCGAGCGCTC